CCATCACAACGTAGCCTCCATGAGAGCAGGAGCTCATCTGGTTTATTATGTCCTCATCCCTGGTACATTGTAAGCGTCCAGACAATATATATTGAATGAATGAACATTTACTTCCCTTATCTGGAAAAGGGAAGGGACTTGATTCTCTGAGATCCCACCTACATATAACACACTCGGATTCTGCCTAGTGAGGTCAAATGTAGTAAGTGGCTTTGTTCTCAAAATGAAAAGTACTTAACCTTGAACCTAGATTCCAACTACACACCATGTACTTCTATCCCTTGGATTTGCCCTAGGTTCCTGGGGTCTGGAAAAATTAAAAGCAGATAAAGCTCAAGTAGGAAGTACAAGGACCAAAAAGGTTGTAAATGAGTTCCTTCTACCTATAGTTACCCCTTCGGTCCTTGCCACACTTTTAGTTATATTTTTTGGAAGTGCTGTCTGTGGTCTGGGCCCACCTCCACCACCCTTAGGCTGATTCAAGCTTGACATAGGGCCTGGTGTTGAGCCAGTTTTTCCAAGTGACTACACATAGGGCAGGCCTGTATTTTAATGGGGAAGAGTCCCAATTTAGAGGCAGTGGGTTGCAGAGAGGAGCCTGGCTTACATATTTCCAATTTGCTGCTGAGAATTCTCTGGAGTTTTCAACTTAGCTCATCTTCTCCTTCCAGTTATTAGACTCTTCTTGACATCATTCAGGTCAACATCCCATCCTCAGGGAAGCCTTTCCTGGCCACTAGATGAGTCTAGACCCTGGTTCCCACTCTCTGTGCTCCCATAGCACTGGGAATCACCAGGACATGTGGTTGGTACTTCCTGTCTGCTTCCATCATAGAGTAGTAACCTCATGAGGACAGTTGTTTGACACTGTCCCCAATACCAAGCACAGTGCCTGCCACAGAGACCCTCCATACTGTGTGCGTCGAATGCATGAATGAATTGATGCTTCTGTTGACTGACCCCTCCTCATTGTTATTCTGTTCTGTTCCTTAGGTAACAAATCTGAGTGTTAAGTTTGCTCTGTACCAAAGAGACTCGCTTATCCAGTGGCTCTCAACCCTGGCTCCTCATTGGACAGTACCAGTGGCTTTCAAAAAAATGATGCCAGGGTCCTACCTACTGAGGTTCTGATTTCATTGGTCTGGGTCACAGCTCGGGTGTCAGGATTTTAAAAGCTGCTCAGAGGACTCTTATGTGCAGCCAGCTTGAGGACCACCACTTCAGGTTTTCAGAGCTCAGCCCTTGCTTTGGGCCTTTTGGGCTTGAAGCAGCCATGCTGAGAGAGAGCAGGGATATAATTCATGGATATTGTATGGTTCCTGACAGTTTAAGAGGTACTTTCACATCTGTTATCACAGCTGATAATTACAAGCTAAGGGATCTGCTCTCAGGTTTAAATATTCCCTTTATGTTGATGATTCTTAAAAATCTACATCCTGTCCTGGCTCCTAGCTATGCATACCAATATCTCACCTCCTCGACTGAACCACGTCATGGCTTCCTCACACGCAGCAGCTCAGTGGTGAGCTTGTTAGCCTCCCTCCTGGGGAGTCCTCTTCTGCACAACTCAGCCTGTTACAGCACCACACCATCCCGCCAAGGCTGTGGCCCTCGTCCTCCCTGCCAGGGGCCCGGAGCTCCTCATTCTTCCCTCAGTCCCTCTTTTCCCTGGCCACTGCCCCAGGTCAGGGTACTTCATCTTTCCCTGCTGGCTTGTTGCCATCAGCCTGACCGGACTGCCTCCCTTCTTTCCTTTCCAGAATTACCACAGCTACCTTCCTGGGAACGGACTGGCTTCTGTCCCTCCCTTCCAGATCTTCCCTAGCACCGACAGCCCAGTCCAGACCCCTCGACACAACTTTCAAGACTTCACCATCTGTTCCCACGCTGGGTGCTCCTAGGAAATGCTTCCTGACTTCTCCACGTGAGCCACATAGCCCAACTTGCGGTTTGTGAGTCTGTGGGGGCACTTCCTTGCCTTTATGCATTTGCTGTTACAGCATCCTTTTGCAAGGCTTTTCCTTACAATTTTCTACCTTTCAAAATCCCTCCAGAATACTTCCTCTCCACATCTCCAGCGTTGCCCTCCTCGAGTCCTTTTGTTCAAATTGTTCTTCCCTCCAGCATTTGAAGGGTCCCTATTGATGAGTTCTAGGATTCTTAGAGTTCATAGGGATTGGGGCTTATAAACATCATTGTTTCTCTGAGCCTCTCATATGGAGAAGGCACTTAAATGTTGAGAATAGGAAGGGCAAGTGTTAACCCTCGATTCAGAGAATAAACTGAGGTATGGGGAACTGGCTGGAGGGCATTCTAGAGCATTTGGCCCAATTTTGAAATCTAGATCTTGGGTAAGCAGAGAGGAAACAGGCTGCCAGAAACACTGGAGCCAGGGCAACTTTAGCCCATCATAATGACCTGCAAATTGTTGATCATCACTGTGGCCCTTTGCACAGAAAGAGGTTCTGTGGGGTGCTCTGGGCCTCCCTAGAAGGTTCTTTGAAATGATGTAGGCCTCTATGAAGAAGGTGCTGTTGGCTTGGGCAGGCAAGCATTTACAACTGTGGGGGGCAGTGTTGTGTATAGGGTGAGGGAATCCTACTGGGCTTACGTCACTGGTGGTCAGGCAGGGAGGGTCAGGGAGTCTGGATTTCTTTTTAAATAATGATGACTAACATTGAGTAAGTGCTGACAGTGTGCCAGGTACTGGCCAGACCCAGGAGAAGCCCATGCGGGGACTCACAGCCCTATTGTTCTGCACCCGCCGTGAGCCAGGCCTTCTGTGTGGTCACGGTTAGACATGGAGCAGACAAGCCCCAGAATTACCAGGTTTGGGAAAGAACTGAGGACAAGGTTAGGATTATATACCTTGAGTGAAGGATTTCCTCCTATCCAGCCCCCACAACTTGTACGTTTCTCTGTTGGACTGTTCATGTCCTCGATGGTTTATTTCCCTTGCGCTGTCTTTAACCCAGTTCTGCCTGCTACAATGTGAGCTTCTGGAGAGCATTGTTCTTCTTAGTGGTCATGGAGAAGCCATGTCCCAAGTCTCCAGTTCCTTAGTGGAACTGACAGCAGTGTTACTATTAAGTGATGATTTTCACTCTGAGCTGTCCTCTTTGTAGCAGGAAGGGTGCTCTGTAAGCAATGGGGACTGCAGGGCTTTGGAACAGACGGCAGAGCAAAGGAATGTTCTGCTCCGCAGCCTTGGAGAAGACAGTGCAACAGGCTTAGCTATGCTGCTGTGTTGTCCAGACTAGTCTGGTATCATGGCTGGTGGGACTGATTCTGGATCCTCAGTGTCTCCAGAGCCTAGTTCTAATTTTTACTCAGGCTTGTGTTTCCTTCCCTCTATGTATTAGCCTTAAAAATGTCTCATAGAATTTGACTTAGGCCAAAAGTATAGTTTGATTTTTGGGGGGAGGTGAGTGGGTGCTGACTCTGGCTCAGGGTGAACATGTCTGCTAGTGGTCACAGCTGGGAATAATTGTTGGGTCTAGTTTTGCACGCAACCTAGTACACATTTTCCTTTTCTTTCCGTGTGCTCCCCACCCCCTCTTTCTTATTTCTCTCCCTTCCCATTCTTCCCTGACTATACAGGCACCATGCGTATTGCTTAACCCTGCTGGTGGCAGGCAGATTCCTGACCCCTCTGGGGGACAATGTACACGGATCCCTCACCCTAGTGGCTTTCCTCTGCAGCTGAGCCCACTAATGTACGGAGGAGTGACCCACCTCCTAACCCCTGACCCTGGCCCGTCTTCGTTAATTAGAGTACATTGATTTATTTTTTATTTATTTATTTTTTTTTTACATTGATTTATTTGTAAGCACCAGGTCTTTGCCGGAAAAATTCTGCCCCGTTGCCCTGGGTAGCACAACTGAGGGGCTGGTCTGGCACTGGAGGCGTTCTAGCAGCTGAGGAATTCCAATAATCTCCACCTGTTCTTATCATTTACAGGGTGGTGGAAAGACGTGAGCCACTTATCTAACATTTATAATGTGTTCTCTGATGCACTTATATTGAAACCTTGAGTACTTCCTCCATAGTCTTCTTTTTTGTCAGTCATGCTTTTCCATCAGCTTCAGTCATCTGAAATAAGAAAGTGGCTCATGTGCCCCTAGAGTCTCTGAAACTTGCTTGCCCTTTTCCATTGGCGGATCTGCTGCCAACCCAGGAGCATTCCTCTGTAGGATCAAAATAGGGGCATGAGTAAACTTCCCATTTGTATTAAATTTCACTAGTGATGCCATTCACTGTTTGTCTTCTAATGCTCCGTGAACGTGTTCTTTTGTTTAACGGTGCATTTCCATTTCCTTTTGTGAGTAGGAAGTCAGTTCTTGTGATTATCTAAGATTCATGCCTTCGCTCTTTTCTTTCCCCCTTAGAAAAGCTCAGAATCATGGCTGCCGGAAAATTTGTGAGCCTTCCCAGAAACATGCCGGTGAATCGCCAGTTCCCCCTGGCCTCATCCATGGACCTTCTGAGCAGCAAGTCCCCTCCTGCTGAGCATCACACTGAAGCCTATCAAGACGTGTCTATACATGGCACCCTTCCACGGAAGAAAAAGGCCCCTCCTCCCATCAGGTCCTGCGATAACTTCAGTCACGTGGGGACCCTGCCCCATTCCAAGTCACCACGGCAGAACTCTCCGGTGACCCCGGCTATCATCCAGGAGCAACCCCTGCAAGACCGGAAAGGCGAAACCTTCACCTTCAGGTGACTTATTTAATTCCACAAGTGAAAATGACTTGTCTTTAAGGGACTTAAAAAAAAAAATCTAAGTTGCCTGGGTGCCTCATTTAGTTAATGGTCCAACTCTTCACTCACATTTTGTGAGTTTGAGCCCCATGTTGGGCTCTGTGGCGACATTGTGGAGCCTGCTTGGGATTCTCTCTCTCTCTCTCTCTCTCTCTCTCTCTCCCTCTCCCTCTCCCTCTCTCCCTCCCCCTCCCTCCCTCCCTCTCTCCCTCTCTCTCCCTCTCTCTCTGCCCCTTTCCACCCCCCACAAATAAATAAATAAGCTCAAAAAAAAAAAACACAAAAAAACCAAAAGCCTTTCCATTAGGGAATATGTCAGCTATACAGAGTAGAGCAAATAGTTTAATTCCCAAGGACCCACCACCCAGCTTCATGACCAGTCCTGCTTTTTCTGTTCTCCTGCCCACATTCCTTCCTTTGCTATTATTCTGAAGTAAATTTCAGCTCTTATTTTATCGTAAATATTTTGGTATATGTCTTTCAAAGATAAGTACTCTTATTTTTAAAAAACACAACATAATATAAAAAACTATAACACCTAAAAAAAGTAACCATTTCTTACTATCCAGTATGTGAGAGATTTCTAAAGTCAACTTCCTGTGTATCACAAAGTCCCTCAGAACGAAGAATAAGTATTTTTTTTATTATAATGTCAACTTCTGAACTATGTCCATCCAATTCTGTAGAGATGCCAAGATGTCTATAAATTAGAACCTGCATCTCCAACATGCTGAAATAAAATTTGGTACGGATGCATCATCAGGTCAGCTTCAGAATACTTTAGAACAAGGATTGATTTCTCCTATCCACTAGGGATCTGGGTAAATAAGCTTTATGGTTGTCAAAACTTCTTGTCAGGATTTGTATTGGGCCTGGCTGTGATTGGTTTCTGCTTGTTAGAGCTGGTTTAGAAACTGCCCTTCTTTTCCTATTGGGGAAGATCAGCACCCTGTGATATTGTCAGGCAGAGAAGGGGCTGGTTCCTTCTGTTGTATCTCTTGGTGTCTCTTTTTGTCCAACCCTGTATCACAGACAGCCACTTTGATCCTAGCTCATTTCTTTGTTCAATGTCTATATATTGAGCACCTAGGTTGATTAGAGTACATTGATTTTGTAACCAGTGCCTCACCAGGAAAATTCTGCCCCATCCCTCTTAGTATCTTAACTGGAGGGCTGGTCCGACCTTGAAGACATTCTGGCAGCCAAATCATTCCAGCAATCTGCTCTTGCCCTTTTACAGGGTAAGGAAATATGTGAACTAACAGGACAGCGGTAGGGCATCTGAGATGGTATATTCCCAGAGCTAATATTGAGTGAAGGACCCAGTTAATAAATAAGTTAATTGCAGATTATATTGAGTGCTATAGAGGAAATAGGGATATACTGAAGATTTATTGGGCTTGTATCTTTATACAGTGGACAGGTCTCTGAGGAGATGATATTTAAGCTAAGACCTGCGTGATGAGAGAAGGCAGCCATGGGAAGAACCAGAGGAAGGTGGTTCCAGGCATAGGGAGGGCAGTGCAAAGGACTGGGGGTAGAGCAAGTGTTTCATGTTTGAAAAAACCCAAAATGAAGCTGGTGTGGCCTGTGGCTGGAGTGTAGCAAGCTGAGAGGAAGACTGTACAGATTTTGGGAGAGAGCTAGACAGGCAAGAGTTCAGAATTAGTTTTAGTTGCATAATTGCAGTAGTATAAGAAGAAAATAAGTGGAGGCCCAGGTATTCTCTGTAGAGAGTGTTGGAGAGCTCTGAAATGTTTCTGACATCAGCTCAGAAGGTTCCCCCAGGGTGTCAGGGGGCTTAGAAAGCCCTGCACCTGCTCTGCAAAATGTAGGTGGGTGACCGCCCAGCTCAGAGGAGCCAGCAGACGGCCCATGGACGGCACAGGTCAGTGGGGAGTGCACACCTGTGTACAGTATTGTTCGCATTGCACCACTGGCATCTGACAGGTGGGGATGAAGAAGCGGAGAAATCACTGCTCCCTCTCGCAAGGGTTAGGAGGCAGCAAAGAAAAAGAGCTCCCGGCCAGCCAGAAACAAACACTAAATACCAGGCCGCACAAGGTGGAGTCAGAACCAACTATTCCTGAACTTGCTGTAGCCACTTTTTATTTATTAAGTGAAACTCTGTAGTGAGCTGCATATCTACTGTGTACCATATGGAGACGATTCACCAACTCATTCCTTGAAGATCTAAGGTCCTGGCTGGGTGCCAGCTCTTCCAAGGGGGAATCTCTGGGCAGCTGGGGGTGGCGATGGAGTCACCCTTTCTATCTCGAGGAAGTTCTTGATAAACACCCAAGGCCCAAGCTGACAACCTGCCAGGAGTTCAAAGCTTTTTGATTTGAAAATGACTTGGACAGAGGTCAGATCTCTGTAAAAGATCTTATCAGGCGGTGGGTGCATGTCCTAAGTTTGAAGTCTGGGCTGTGGAAGACTTAACGAGGTTTGTTTATCATTCATCTAAATTCATATCTTTTCCCCTTGACTTAAAATATCTTATTGTTAAAGGTGAATACAGGAAGTAACAAACACATCACCTTCAGAATTCTGAGTGAGAAGGTCATGTCAAAGGATCATAAGTCCTAGTCTCCTGCTCCTCAGTCTTATTAATAGATTTTGTTTACTTATTTTTATTTTTTTATTTATTTGTTGACTTATTTTTTTTGAGTAAACTCTACCCCCAACATGGGGCTTGAACTCACAACCCAAAGATCAAGAGTCACATGCTTTACTAACTGAGCCAACCAGATGCCCCTATATTTGGTTCACTTAACACGCTTTTTTTTTTTAATGTTTATTTTTGAGAGAAAGAAAGAGAAAGAGAACAGGCAGAGGCTCCAGGCTCTGAGCTGTCAGCACAGAGGCTGACGTTAAGCTTGAACACATGAACCATGAGATCATGACCTGAGCCTAAGTCAGATGCTTACCCGACCAAACCACCCAGGCACCCCCTTAATGCACTTTAAAAACTATCTTGAGGGGTTCCCAGTTTTGAGGAGTTCAAAGTACCTTGTGTTATTTTCATCCTTTTAAATATTCCTACTAAGATTATTAGCTGCCTCAGTTCCTTTTTGGAGCAAGCCACAAGATCCACCAAATTTGTGCATATGAAAAGCTAGGGACAAACAGTGTGAATGAAAGTCTGGGGCTCCAGAGACAGGGGTTGCCTAAAGTGCCTCAACTGAACTGCCATGAGGGAGAAACAGCATTTCTGTTCCTAACTCAGCTCTTACAGCTCTGGTGCTAAGAAAACACCAACCACCCAGCACTCTTGCTCACTCACCACTGGAAGCTGGGAGCCATGTGTATTTTCAAGTTAAGAGTTTTGGATCTCTGACTCCAGGGGGTGAGACTAGTTAGGTCTACTTTTAACAAGATTATTGATTTGTGTGGGTGGGGGCGGGGGCGGGGGGGTGGGGTTTGGTGCGATCTTCTTTCAGGTAAACTTTTTTGGCCTTGTTACTTTTCATAGCAAATTCAAAGGTTAATTTCAGCTGACAGTGACTTGCCCAGATGTCAAGTCTGAAAACCTTACATTTTGTCCTGTTTGGTGTGGGCATGATGATAATGGGACCATAAGAGGAAGCCCAGACCCCCTTGTCACGTATACCCCAGGGAAACCTGCCAGACAACACCTTTTTGTCTTGTAAAATATTCTGATAAATTGCAAGTTTGGTAGTTTCCTAACAAATACGTTTAGCTTATTTATCATGAAAAAGTCACTTGTATTTTAATTGCGTATTGATTGAACATCCACCTTGTGGAAGACCGTAGGCAAAGCAGAGGAAGTCTCCCCTTTGACCTAAAAATGTGTAGTGTCAACCTTTCTTATCAACATGAGTCCTATGCACGTGAATTATTATCTCTTACATTTTATAGGTTTAAAATATCTTCAAGACTGTGTTCATAAATCATCCTGTATAAACATGATAACCCTGTGTGAGAGACATGGCAGATTTCATCCTGAGCGACAGCGTTGTTATTATTCACAGTCAAGAAAGTGGTTCAGGGATGTTGAGGCTCCTAAGATCAGACCCTAGTGGGTAACTGAGCTGGGCTTAGAACCCAGACAGTACTGTAGGGTTTTCCTCAGACACTGTACTCCACAGCCTCCCAAGAAGGTTGGCACTGGCTGTGGGTGTCTTCTGAGCTGTCCTCTTGCATGGAAAACTTCAGCCCCCAGAGTCTGAACCCAGCACCTTGGACACCCACCTTGGGAAATGGAGTCTTGGCCACCAAGAGCCAGGCAGAAGGCAGGCCTAGAAGGGAGAGTGGGTCTCCCCTCATTTGGAGACCGTATCTCTTGGCTTTGTTGTTGCCTTGGCTGCCCTTGGATGTACTTGTGGTTTTGAAAGGTGGCCAAAACGAGAAGCCAGGCTGCTCTTAAACCTGCTGCTTGATGTCACAGAAGAAGCCTTTGTTCTGCAGGCAGAGCGAGGCTTCCCAGAGAGGTCTGCAGACAGGATTTCCTCTTGACACTAGCGTTGTTTGACTGATGTCCCTTTGATTCACTTATCTTCAAGGATGAATTTTTATTTGAATCTGGGACCTTCCTTGGGCTCGGAGGAGACTGGTTCCTGTTGTTGAGCTGTGTTGTCAGGATAGCTGAAGGATCAGCTCTGGGAGACCGTTCCGGGTCTGCTTCCTGCCTGTGGGTACGTGGAGGCATGCATTCCTGGGAACAGCTGCCGAGTGCCTAATTCCTTCTACCCCTTGTGCTGTGGGAGCATGTGGCGGGACAATGTGATGTTTCATTAGTTTGCATGAGTGGAGCTGACTGACTAGTCACAAGTGTTTTAACTGACGGGGGCCAGAAAGTCTGCAGAATTATCCCAAATTAAAATCCAGTATGCTTTCCCAGGCAGTAAGTAACGTACCATGTTGCAGCGGCTGCTCTTTAAAGTGGAAGCAAAGTGTAAGGCATAGGATCTGTGCAGACTCTTCTCCAAACACTG